CAGATTCGCCCCGGCTTTGGTTCCTCCGTGCCTCTATCAGTTCCAAGTCAGCCCAGGAATTTCAGCATCGCTCTGATGTGGTCTTGAGCCGCAGACCACAAGAGAGGAGCGGCGGGTGCCGAGGAGCACAGCACCACATCTGGGCAACCCATCTGGTGTGGCAGCTGCCAGCACTTGCTCCTGGTTGCAACCAGCTCTTGTACCCTGGGGAGAGCTATATGGAGGCTTCATCCAGCTCTTTCCAGAGCTCTGGCCTGGCCTGTGGAGGAACCACTACCCTGTGCATGGTCCTGCTTTGCCAAAGTGATGATGGGTGACAGCAGTGCCCAGGGAGGAAAAAAGGGAGGCAGAAAGTGCTGAGCTTCTTCCAAAGTGACCATGTGGATCAGCACAACATGCTGAGGAGCATCCTGGGCTGGGGATCATCCTGCAGCACCATGAACGTTGCAGGGTTACAGTGGTGTCAGGAGCTAGCACTGAGCTGGTGTTGTGACCATACAGATGCTCACCCATCCCCGACATCCCACGGGTTGAAGTGCTTGTAGGAGGCACTAGCCAGTGGCAGAGGATGCTAGCCCGCTGCCTTTCCCTGCCTCGGGGCCTTTCCGCCCCAGTCCCACGCACTCTTCCTAACCCCCACGACGAGCCTCAGCATTAAATGTGCTCCGCGGAGCCCCGGGAGGCAGCGGCAGGCTCCTGGGTGAATACTAATAGCGATGCCGTCCGGTCGCCCCAGACTTTCCCACACATCTGCAGCCACTTAATGTGGGAATCGTTAACCCTCTGCTTACGCAGCGCCTGAAACGCGGTGAAGGAGCAAAATGTGGCGCCAGGATGTTCCCTCCGGGACCCCGTGTCTCCCGTCACAGGCTGGGTGGGTGAGCCCTGCTGGGCACCCATCGTCGGCACGGCGAGCACCCAGCTCTGTGCTGGTGCAGGGGGAATCACATCACCAACCCCATGAAAACAGAGGCCTCCTGTGTGCTGGAAGGCAGTGACAGATGCCAGCCTGTGTCCCCGTCCCTAGTGACCTCTTGAGGACAGTCCCAAGATTTGTGGCATATGCATTTTGCCAGGAAAGCTGATCCAGATCCCAAAGAGTGACACTGAGCCCCGGGGTGAGGAGACGGGGTGCTGTACGGCAGTGCTGGTCCAGCACTATCCCGGTCCAGCACCCACCTCTTTGGGGACTCCCTCTGCAGCATGGGGTCCCCTCTGCAGCATGGGGACATGAGTGCCAGCAGAAACCTGGTTCAGGCATCTGGAAAAACCCAAAGGGCACGTGGGAGTCTGCAGTGGGGCTGGGGCAGGGGGTTGTCCTCTGCAAGAAGGTTGTACTGGTGTCTCTGATGCCAGAGAGGAGGGGATGCTCTCGGGGAATTCAGTGGGGCAGGGGGTTGTTCTTGCCCCATCCCTCCCCTGCTCGCTGGGATGCTGCTCCAAAGGTGCATGGCAGGAATGATGCATAGGAGACAAGCTCTGCTCTCCCCTTTCCTCTTGCTGGGAGGCAGGAGAAGCTGGAGAACGGGAGGAAGGTGCTGGCTGGGGTGTGCGTGGGGCCACGTAGCTCTGCCATGTGGTGGTCTGAGGCCAGAGGTTGGCCTCTGGGAGCAGAAAGGGCTGGGGGGAGCAGGGAGGCCACGAGCCCATGGGGCTGCCGGGGAGGTGGTGGGGCAGGAGGCTCTGGGGGGAAAGGGGAGCGAGGGGAGCCAGCACCCAACCCTCTGTGGGCATCTCCCTGTCCTGCTGAAACCATGGCAGGGTTCAGAGCAAGCTGGGGAGCAAGGCAGGGCTTGGTTTCCCGGGGTGGATGCCTCCTTCATGGGAGGAGGAGGAGGTGGTGGTGGTCTCCCCTATGAACCTGCTCCATCTGTGATAGCAGCTTGTAGCCTTGGCCCTGGGGACCTCCTGGTTCTCCCTTCCCCAGCCCTCCTGCTTCCAGGAGATGGCATCACTCGATCACGGAAAGCAGCACTGAGCCCCAGGGAGCGACAGGGAACCTTGGCCGCTCACCCTCTCTGCTGCATCCGCCCGATTTCCACCAGGAATCTCAGGTCTGGAGGACTAGCAGGAGCTCTCCAGGCTGGGTTTGGCACTGGGGGTCTCTGGGGTGGATGGAGAAGGTACTGTCACCTCCTCTTGTCCAGCTGGGGACCCCCAAGGGCTCTGGCAGCCCTTGACCTGCTGACTCATGGGACCCTGGTGTGGGTGGCATCTTGTGGCACCGAGGGTCCCCAGCAGCACCCTTCAGTCCCAACCTAGCAGCTGGGATTCTCCTTGGGGAGCCCATGGAGGAGAATCCATGGAGGGCTCCTCACCTTGCTTTTCCCCAGCGTAAAGTTTGCCAGCCATAATCCCCACCAGCAATAAACAGGCCAAAGGAAAGGAAAAGAGGGAAGTTATTGTCGGTGGATCTTTATGGCCCAATTGTCTCCCCCTGTCTCCCTTCTCCCTGTGCCAAGGGGGCTGGTGGCACGGCTGTTAGCAGGCACCTGGAGATGCTGCACCCCGGCGAGCCCTTCACCTGCCGTGGAGAAGATGCAGGTGTGGGGTGCTGCCCCCACATCCCTGCACCCCCCCAATCCCCAGCAGCTGCCTGAGCCATTGGCCTCGGCTCCATGGGCTGGGAAAAGGGAAAGGGGGGACCGGGCTGCCCATCACTGCCAGCAGCAGGAATAGCCCCAGCATCCCCCTGAATGGGGCTGCCCCTGGGGTGGGAAAACCAGAAGCCACTGTGTTCCTCTGCACCTCCCACCATCTGATCATAGTGACGGGAGGGATTTTCTTCATTTTTTTTTCCATTCCCTGAGCCAGCGACTCAGGAGGCAGGAGGAGGAGGAGGAAGAGGGCCTTGGCTCTCGTATTTATACAATGCCATAGCTGTGCAGAGACCTTAGGACAAATCCGGGATGGATGGGGTTATATGGTGCATCAATTGATCTGCACAGCGGTGTGAGCTGAGATCGTCACCGGGTGGGATGGTCGTGGTGGTCACCTGTGTCCTGAGGGAGGGAGGCAGGACTGGGTGAAGAGCCAGGGATGCTGGGGGGTACAGGGAGGGAAGAGGAGGATGCTGCAAATCACTCACCTCTCCTGGTACCTCTGGCCGTGCCAGGTCTTGGGAGTCAGAGCCTGGGCAACGTCAGCTCTGGGGTGATCTCCCATTGCTGGGGTTTTACTCTGCTCCCTTCCTGCAAACCAGATCCCCTGCCTCTTACCTTCCCCCTTTGATCTCATCCTGGCTCCCACCTCCTTGCAGGGAGTAGATGTGCCACGGGGACAACCACTATAATATTTTCACCCAGTTTCAGCCAGAATCAGGGCTGGAGCAATGGGATGAGGCACCCAGGGCTGATGCAGAGCAGCTGTGGGCCAACAGCTCTGGGGTTTGGGGGTGCTGGCCCGTTATGGCTCCATCGTGGCATGTTTGATTGCAGGGTGGGAAGGGCAGCAGCCTGGCCCGGCTGTGGCTGGGAAGGCTGCGAGGGAGGGGGACAGCAAGCTCTGGCAAAGTCCACCTTGAGCAAACAGATGACAGCAGTGCTGCGGGGGCTCGGGGACACGCCGATCCCTCTACAAGCACCGGAGAGCTCAGGATGCCACGGGGATGGAGGGCTGGCGTGGGAGTGAACAGGGCCCCGGGGAGCGCTGGCAGCCGGGTGCTGTCCCCAACCCACTGGTCAACACTGGGGACATCTGCCACTGGCTCCAGGGGGAGAAAACAAGAAATGGCCATGCATTAAATATGCCGAGCTCCTCAAGTCACGGGCTTTGTTACCATTTTCCTTTTAACCTCACAGATCTGGGAGGCAATCCCACACTGGAAACTCTTCCAGGCTCATATCTGCAATCAGAAAAAACTCTGAAAGTCTCTTGTTTTACCCCCTCCCCCCTCTTCTTGATTTCATCCTAAATGGTTTTCCCCCTGCTTTTCTTTTTTTTTTTTTTTTTTTTTTTTTCTCTATTTATTGTCAAATTCCAGGCTGTTTCTGTCCCAGGAGGATGAGGACTGACCAGTCCTTGCCCGGCTCATGTTTCCAGAAGGGGAAGGGGCTGGTGCGCAGAAAAGGTCAGAGGTGGCATTTGGGAGGCCACAAAAACACCCTCCTGAAGCCTCTTCTGGGCTGTGCTTCAGTTTGAGGGGAAAAAAACAGCCTAAAATGATGGCTGTGACTATCTGGAAGTGGCCAGCGCAGCTGCAGTGTGACACTGGTGGAAGGGGAACGTTGGCAGGAAGGAGGCTTCTTGCTGCAGATGATGGGGGTTTCAGGCCTGGATGGCACAAAGCTGGTCCTTGGTCTTTCATCTCCCTCAGGGGTCTGTCTCTTCTCCCAAGTCACAGGAGATAGGACAAGGGGAAATGGCCTCAAGTTGCACCAGGGGAGGTTTAGATTGGATATTAGGAAACATTTCTTCACGGAAAGGGTTATCAAGCATTGGAATGGGCTGCCCAGGGAAGTGGTTGAGGCACCATCCCTGGAGGTGTTCAAAAGACGGGTTGACATGGTCCTCAAGAATATGGTTTAGTGATTTTTTTATTTATATTTTTTTATTGCTTATTTCTTATTTATTTTTTTTGTCAGAGTTAGGTTGATGGTGGGACTAGATGATCTTTAAGGTCCCTTCCAACCTAGACGATTCTATGATTCTATGATTCTATGCCCTAGAGTCCCCAAAGCTGGCTCCTACAAAGGGACCATGGCCGGTGGCATGGGGACAGCTGTGGGGTGATGACAACAGAGAGGACACGGGGTTCCGGGATGCTCCCCCGGGGTGTCACCCACCGCCTGGCTCCCCCTGGCAGGGGGAGGGTGGGAGGTTTGAGTTCGGCCCCCCCCTCACCCGCTGGGGTTCCTGCACTTTGAAATGCAAACCTGCCTTTCAATGCAAATGCTGCAAGAGAGAGAGAGAGAGGTTGGGCCCAATAAAAGCCTGTGGGCAGGGAGGTGCCTGGCCCCGGGGACGGGAGGCAGGTCCCCAAGGCGCCCAGGTGAGCGGTGGTGAAGGAGGGGCGGCCGCTTCCCCGCCAAACCCATCCCGGCACAGCATGTGCGCGGGGCCGGCCGGGGAAGATGTATGTAGGTTATCTTTTGGATAAGGACACCAACATGTATCCCAGCCCCGTCCGGCATCCCAGCCTCAACCTCAACCCCCAGAATTACGTGCCGGCCCCCCCACAGTACTCGGACTTCGCCAGCTACCACCATGTGCCGGGGATTAACAACGACCCCCACCACGGGCAACCGGCGGCCGCCTGGGGCTCGCCCTACACCCCTGCCAAGGAGGACTGGCATTCCTACGGGACCGCTGCCACCCCTTCCACCGCCAGCCCGGGGCAGTTTGGATTCAGCCCCCCAGATTTTAACCCCATCCAGCCCCCCGGCTCTGGACTCCTGCCTCCACCCATCAGCAGCTCGGTCCCCCAGCTCTCCCCTAACGCCCAGAGGCGCACCCCCTACGAGTGGATGAGGCGCAGCATTCCCAGCACCAGCAACAGCGGTAAGGAAACAAAAAAAAAACCAGCCCTGCACCTCCTTTAGTGCAGAGGATCCCTGGGCTTGAGGTCCTGTGGGTCCAGATCGTGCTCCGTGGTTCTCCCTGCATGGGAGGTGTGCTTGGCCTGGCCCCCAAAGAGCTGGGGGGACCTCCATGGCTGAGGTGGCGGGGGCTGAGGATGGGCATGGAGGATGCCGTCCTTCCGCCTTGCTGGCAGCTGGGGTTATATGGTTGGAAAGTCCTTTTTCCCACCTGGTCTCTGCCCCTGCACCCCTGCCCTCGCCTGCTGCCATGGGGCAGGATGGGCAAAGCCATAACAACCCCTCTCCGCGATCACAGGGCTCTGCCAGCCCCGGGGGGGTGTTCTTTGGGGTGTCTCGTGTGTGCACGGGGGGAGCGTGTGGGGCTGCGGCTGTGAGTCGGCGTGCAGTGGCGTGTGGGAGCCTGTGTATGGGGATGTGCACATTATATGTGCTACATGCATGTGTAGGGTGTATGTACGTGCGCGGGGAAGGTACTGTATGTTCACCCGTGGAGGGAAGGTGCTGCTTGTGCTGTATGTAGGGTGTAATCAGTGTGTGCGAGGAGCTACAGGCTCTGTGTGCGTGTGCAAGGAGGTGCCGTAAACGGTGCATGTGTGTGTGGGGCTTGCCGGATGGATGGTGCCAGTGAGTGTGTAAGGGGGATGCTACATGCTCAGTGTGTGCGTGCAAGGAGCTGTGGGGTGAGGACGGTGCAGCGCGTGGTGCGTGTGCAAGGTGCACCACATGGTATGTGTGCAAAGTGCAGTGCACGGGGGACAATGCCATGTGGAGGGTGCACAGGGGTGTTCCTGGTGTGACGTGCCGCTTGTGCATATGCACAGACGTGTACCCCCTCTCCTGTGCCTATCCCTGGCCTGGGCTGTCCCCAGGGTCCTGTCGCCATGTCCCCAAGGTCCCGTCCCCCTGTCCCTGGGGTCCTGTCCCCGCTGAACTCCTGACCTGGAGATGGTGGTGGTGGGGAAGCGTCTGGGTGACCCCAGCCCCCTGCCCACGCTGGGTGAGGGGGGGGACCCTGCTGCCCACTTCAAAGGCGGTGGGCAGATCCCCCCTTGGGGCCAGCCCAAATTGACAAGGGCTTGGCTTTGTCATGGAGATGGTGGCCGGCTCCTTTGGCAGCGAGGTGAGGTGCGGGGCCCTTTGTCCTGTCCTGCCCCATCCCTTTCATCTTCCCCTCCAGGCTGCGATTGCTGCCAGTCCAGCCTGGATCCGTCCTGCCTGCAGCGGGACCCTCTGCCCACCGGGCTGGCCCAGACCCATCACCCCTCTCCTGGGCTGACTGTGAGCTCTGCAGAGCACTGCTGGGACCCAACTCACTACAGGAGTGGTCTGTGCATCTCTTGGGGGCCAGTTTGCTTTTGGTGGCTCCGTATCCCCAGTGTCAGGGCCAGGGCTCCCTCTTTGCAAAGTGTCTTCAGTTTTAGGCTGGTTTCTGGCACCCCACTGTCCCCGCGTGGGGCTGGCTGAGACCTTCTTGTGCAAGGGGCTTGTGCTGAGGTGCCGGGGTCTTCCAACATGGAAAATAGCTCCTCATGTGTGCTGGGTCCGCGTGGTGGGGATGGGGATGGGGCTGTCCCAGCGGGACCAGCAGCTGCGGTGGAACAGGCAGAATATCCCAATAAATGGAAAAAACCAGCCCCGGTCTGGAGAGCGGAGGGGAGAGGCAGGCTGGTATTTCCTGGCCCATTTTAAGCACTGAATATACCTATTTAGGAAAAATGCCTCCCCCCATACCCAGTGATGGAGACCCACAGGCGTGCTGGGCCTAAGAGGTTCCCTCTGCCCCCGGGTGGAAAGAGGGGGTGTGTGATCCTGCAGCCCCCACTGCCCATGCAGCTGGGACCCCACCACTTCTGCAGGTTTCATAGGTTTCGGTTTCTTCTGAGGAGAGAGGTGGGAGGGAAAATTAATGAGGGGAGAAAGACATCAGCACAGCTCTCCTCTGGATCAAGGGCATGGTTTTACACCCAGCAGTGGGGCCGAGATAAAACAGGGGCTTGAAAGTGCCTCTGATTGAGTTAGACGACAATTGAGTTGATTGAATTCTGGAAAAATATCATTAGTTGCTTAGTTTGTATCTCTTAGATTAAATACATACAAAGGGAGAAATAAATCAGCCTTGTTCCCCTCGCATGCAGAGGAGCTGCTGCCCCAGCCCAGCCCCAGCAAAGCTGGGTGCTGGGGTGAAAGCCCCTTTCTCGTGGTGGTTTCCCAGGATGGATGACCAGCGAGGTCCCTTTTTAAGGCACTTGCAGATGAAGGACATGTCCTTGTGTCTCTGCTGGGTCTGAGCTGAGGGCTGCTGGTGCCAAGCAGCTGCAGGATTCAGCCGCGGTGGGACCACGTGCTGAGAGATGGTGGGATGCAAGTCGTGTTTTCCAGGGCTACCCTTTAAATAAATTGAAAAAAAAAAGCCTTTCTCCATTAAGTTTGAAAGGCAGCAGGGCAGAGATGGGTTTAACATAGATAAGAATGAAATTCTTAGATGAATCGTTTTATTGAAATCAATAAACTGGACTTTAATCAGTCTGGATTGATTAACTACCCATCTCACCGCAGTGGGAATGGGAAATGAATGTGTGGACTTTTTTTTTGCTATAAATATAAACAGTTTCATTGCGAGTGCTATAAATCATAATACTTCAGAGGGTTGTAAATTAAGGTTCCCTCTCTGTCTTGCCTTGTATAAACAGCTCTTGGCCGCAGTTTGAAAGCTTTGGGGAAAGAGCCGTGCGGCGGTAAGAGAAAATGTTACGCAGGGAATACGAGTGTGTCGGGGGCTTCTGCAAATGTGATCCAGAACCCGAGAAAAATCAATGAGAAATCTCCCAGTGGCCCACAGCAGAGACAGGCTGGACGCAGGGATGATTTTATATACCTGTTTCTAAATACATGCGTGCTTCCCCCGGCTGAGCCAACATAACCCGGCAGCAGAAGGGCTTGCATTGCCAGAGGGCTGGAAATCAGGAGTTAAAGGGAACCAAGAAGATGTCCCCAGGCCTCATTTCTCTCTCCGATGTCACCTCTTTTTCTGCTCATAAAATCTTCACGAGCAGCGTGTCAGAGCCTCATGCTTCCTCCTTATTCACAATTATTTGCAAACTTCCCCGTGAATTGCACCCCCGGCTCTATAAAAAGCTCAGGAAAGCGGCTGGAAAAGGTGGCTGGCTGAACTTTGAAATTCACCCTCTGCTCGTTAGTTATGCAAATCCTCAGATACTGCCTCAGGTCTGGCTTTTAGGTCACTAATCGAGCTGGGGCCGCAGTCCTAAATATTGCAAGTGAAAGTGCAATTGGGGCATCACTCGGGGAGGGGAACGTGCTCAGGGCTTCACGTGGTATTGGTGGCGGTGGTGCCTGGGTAGGTTTTGGGGTGGTGGAGAGGGAATAGTGATGCTCCAAGCACGGGCGAGCGGTGGTTTGCTGGGTCTGCAGTTTTCCATCTCAGTTTTCGTTATTTCCAGCTCAGTTTTCCAGCTCTATTATGCTCAGCCCTAGTGAGGTGCATGAAAACTGGAGGAAAGATTAAAAAACCCCATTAATGAGACAGAGGCATGTTTTTCATGGACAGGTGGGGTTCGTGCTGTGCATGGAACATTTTGGGGTGATGGTGGTGGCTGGAGGATGGTGTGTTTCATGGTCAGTCCCCTCTATAGGAGATGGTCGCTCCCCATGAGACCCTTTGGTCCCCCAGGTCCCTCGGTGTGTGCGTGCATTGGGTCCCATCGGTCTTCTCCCCTTGAATTATTAACCCACAACCTGCTCCTGGCCCCAGCTGGGGTTTGTTGACCGCTTAGCCTGCTGGCCAAGGTACAGGCCTTCCAAACTTTCCTAGAATTGACTTTCTTTGAACAAAAAGGGCTTCCCTGGAGCACTGGTGGTACCTACGTGATGGGCTTGGCTGGCTAATACCCCGGGATTAGCAGAGAGACACTTTAAACCTTTAGCCAATGGCAGATGTTTCCTATGGGGGACCTTTCAAGGACACCCATTCCAGCGCTGTTAGCTTTGAGATCACCCGGATAAGGGGCCACATCCTTCCCCTGTGCTGCCCCATGGTCAGGATGGACTGAGACCTGTGAGGCAGTGAACGGGGAGAGGAGTCCCAGTGCCTAGCTGGGACCACCACCACTGTGCTGTCCTCCTCCTACTCCCACAGCTGGGCCAAATCCAGCCAGGAGGCCGATCTGGATGAGCTCAGTGCCCTGGGGCTGGCGTGATGTCCTCTGAAATGGGTTGTTTCCAGCCCGAAGGTACTGGCCAGCCCACATGCCACCCCAGCACTCCTCACCCTCCCGCACTGGTGAGGGCTTTGACCCAGCACAGGAGCCCGGCTGGTGGTGCTTGGCTCAGGAGCAGCTGAAGGAATCTGCCCGTTGCCAAAATAAAGGGTTGGATCACTATGGGCTGGGAAATTATTGCCTCAACGCCCAGCCTCTGCCCCCGGGGTTGAAGCATCTCCTGTTGTGTTGCTCCGTGTCCAAGAAGATGGGGAAGCGCCGGCTCGCTGCAGCCACCAGCGACCTGCTCCTCATCCCCTTGGGGTTTGCACCTCCTGGGAGGAAGATGAGGCTTGCAGGAGGGGTGCCATCACCCTGTGTGTGGGTGTAGGTGCAGACCTGTCCCTGTCCCGCTGTGCTGGCAGCGTGGAGCCCAGCTGGGGCCAGCCTGTGCTCCTGCACACCGGTCTGTGCTCTCTGGATCCGGCTCTTCCCAGGGTGTTCCTGCTCCTTCCCGGCAGCTGGGCTACCCTGTGTGGCTGTGCCATATGCCAAGCCCTGGTCTCTGCCTACCAGCTCTGCCAGTCCTGTCACCCTCAGGCAAGTAACCCCCAGCCACACACTTAGAATCATAATCATCTAGGTTGGAAGGGACCTTAAAGATCATCTAGTCCAACCATCAACTTACTTATAGCAAAGATTTTTTGGAAGCACAGAGCTAGATCCTCTGTGTGCAGGAGAC